TTATATATATATATATATATATATATATATATATATATATATATATATATATATATATATATATAAGTTGTAATCCATTTATCTTTTAACGTGTACCGTAATAAAGACTGCATTTGGAGGGTTGATAAATAGTTAAAGACTACTTCTAAACTATTGAAACTTGAAAGACTGCATGTGGAGGGTTAAAAATCTTGAAAGATTATTTACGAACTTTTAACATTTGAATGACCAATCGGCACAACTCATAAAGTTAAAAGACCAATAGTATATTTTAACCCGAATAATATGTATCATTTGATGGAGAGTTTCTTCTCATCCAAGCAAAAGCAAAGCAAAAGAAACGATTAGCTAGCGCAGATAGCCAAGCCATAATATTATATTATGATGATTTGATTTACAACACGTACTTATCGAGTGATAATTTAAATTAATCACTACTAGTAATATATAATTAACTTTTTTTTTTGTTGGCGAAAATGTAGAATAGGCTATTAATTAGTACTGCAGCGGCTGAAGGCTGCCAAAGCTAGTCAAACTTGCGCCGCCGTTCATATTTGCCGCCACGGCGGCCGCAGTTGCCGACGGCGACGACGCAACAAGGGACGAAACTGGCAACGGCTGCGGTGGTTGGTGGTCGTCGTCACCCCCACCGCCGCCGCAGTAGATATGAGCCACCGGCAAGATGGCGGCGGCGGTTTGTTGTTGTTGCTGCTGATGCAGCTGGTGGAGGCGCAGGATCTCGGCCTGGGCCACCGCCAGCTGGAGCTGCAGCTGCGCCACTTGGTTCTGCAGGTACGAAATCGCGCCCACGCATCCGTTCACGGGATCTCTCATCCTCGCGTTCGCCTCGTACACCAGGCTGCTCACGGCGTCGCCTCTTTGGTGGACCGGGATCTCCTGCGATGTACATATTATTCATTCATGAATTCATTCATATTTAGTCCATTAGAAAACTATAAAAAAACAAGTAATGTTTGTATATAAATTCAAAAAAAAAAAAGTAATGTTTGTATAGATCTAAATTGGGATTTTTAATGTTTGTATATATCTAAATAGAACATACTCCGTATAATGACAAAGAGTATCAATATATACTCCCTCCGTCCCAAAAAAATATTATTCATTCATGAATTCATTCATATTTAGTCCATCCATTAGAATACTTTTAAAAAACACGCAGTGTTTGTATATATCTAAATTGGGAATTTTAATGTTTGTATATATCTAAATACTCCCTCCGTCCCTTAATAATGCTCCATTTTTGACTTTTGGAGGAATTAAGGGAGGGATATTTTTGTGTTGACTTTCCAAAAATACCCTTGATGTGATGTGTAAAAGTAAGATGTGATAGGTGGATTATTAGTAAAAAGGTATGATGTGATAGGTAGGGTATGAAAAAGTAAGAGGTAAAAGAGGTTTTTTAGGAGAAAAGAGAAGTTTATTTAGAGACAAAGAAAAAACGAAAGAGGAACTTTATTTAGGGACGGAGGGAGTAGAACATATAATGGCAAAGAGTATCAATATATATATAATGTCAAAAAACATCATAAAATGCACTCAACATATATATAATGTCAAATTGTCACATCACACAATGTCAGTACTTTTATTTCAAGAAACGTTCACTTTTTAAACAGGATGAGAGTAAGATTCAAACTCGTAACCTCTAATTAAGTAAGCAAGACTCTCAAATGAATCAAAAATTACGGACTATATATTTATGTTTGTAGGTCGAAGAATTTTTTTGATCAGTATATTTTAAGACGAATTAACCTAGAGGTACACTAAAATGAGATATCCCATTTGTACACCAAATGTTAACAGACATACACAGACACGTAATATTATTTGTGTGCACAAACATTGCATGTCTCTGTGTTGAAAGTTTGGTGTTCGAATAGAGTACCCCTAGCATTGTTCTTTTAAGACGTACCTGAAGCATTTTGCTGATGTTACTGGCGCCGAAGACCTTGTGGACGATGGCGAACTTGTGAGGGTCGTCGGGAGGGAAATACGGGGCGAAGATGCAGTCTTTGGCACACCGCCGCCTTAGCAATTTGCAGGAGGCGCACGGAGATGATGACGAAGAAGATGAGCCGCCGCCGCCTACTCCCCCGCCCATTATTATGTATACTTAAATTCAAACCTAATTAGTTGCCGGAAACTCCTCCTCGGCGTTGAAGAACGGTGGCTATAAGACTGTTACACAGTCAAATAGGGAGGAGAAGAAAGAAGAGAATAGAATGAGCGCAGATTACTTATTTATAATCGCCACATGCAGTAGTTGATTAATTTATTACGTTATTAATTTTATTACCTATTTTAATATATATATTTTTTTTAACTTATGGGAAACATGAATCTATATTAGTCTACCAACATAGTCACATGCAAACTACGTAGTATATTTTGAAGAAGAAATGTTGTACTCCTCTCATCCATCCCCAATTAATTGTCTCATTTCAATATTTATAGTTAATTTTTTTTTCCTTTTTTTCTAATTTCCTCCGCCGATCATTTCTTAAAATAACATATTCTAAATCCATTTTCTAGAGAAATATTTCTCGTTCGCTAGCTATTCCTCATTTAAAAAAGAACAAAATACTTTTACTTCGTTAGACCTTGTGTGGAAACTAACGTTTTTAATTACTGTTAATATTATAGATAAATTTTTAGTTGTGCATGTTAACTTTAAAAATGTGAAAAGCTAAATACTGTTATTAGATTCGGAGTAATGTTTTTTTATAATAACAGAATATTAAGTGTTATACGGAGTACTTTATAAACGAGTTTGTAGTTATGTTTAGTTAGTTTTTTTAGTAGCCGTGTATTGAGTTACTAGGAGGAAATATGATTTAAAAACAAAAAAATCGTTTTAAATAGGAGTAAAACATAGAAAAAGTAACAAAATATGAGTTTAATGTTTTTTTCTAAATATGAGTTTGCAGTGTGGTAATATATGTGACACTATACATATACATTTTACTACTCCCTCCGTCCCTTAAAAAAGTTCTCGTTTTGACTTTTGACTTTTTAAGGATTTAAAGGGAGTGTATTTTGGTGTTGACTTTCCAAAAATGCCCTTTGATGTGATGGCTAAAGTAGGATGGGATGGAATGATGGATGATTAATAGAGAAAAAGTGTGATGTGATAGGTAGGTTAAGAATTACGGAGTAGTAAAGAAAGTGACTTTTTAAAAGGAAATGAAAAGTGTTTTTTTTGGGACGGATGAAAAAAGAAAGGGGAACTTTTTTGCGGGACGGAGGGAGTATATTTTTTAGTAATGTACATGATCATGATTGGTAAAATAAATATATTTTTACTTCTATTTCGAGAATAAAAACATAGAACTGTTATTTTGAAATATTTTTAAAGTTTTACTTCTATTTAGCCTTTTTCCTTAAAAATAGGTAAAATATTGTCATCTTCTCGTCTGGTTGAATTAACTTTATCATGTTTGAATTTTAAAGTCAAAGAGTATTAAACCTTGCTTGTTCCATGATATTTATATAAAATGTGATCTCTAATAATATTAAATTAATATGGATCGAAGTATAATTTACTTGTACAGAAAAGTTAATTTCAATTTTTCTCTTTGCGATTTATCAAAAATCCTATCAAAGATTTTTTTACTTAGCGAATGTAAGGACATCGAAATTCGAGCGGGTTCTATGGCGCTCTCTTTGAATAGTCACGGAAGACACTGCACACCTACCATGCTCCATCATAAAAGTGATAATTCGTAATTTCGTATGTATGCTCCTAACTCCACCAGTATTCCCCCCCCACCAGCCTCGACCTCATTCTGTCGCTTCCCCCACATCAATTGCACCATGCAAATTTAGTTAACCAGGCAAATAGAGACACTGCGTTTGCACACCAGACAAACACAGTCACCACATATTTATGGAGTAATTTTTGGAGTGGTCAGAATCGGTGTTGAAATGTGGAAAAAAACCGGTGCGAGAACATATATTTTAGGAGTGGAGTAATTTTATTTTGAAAGTGGTGCTATATTTAAGTTTTTTAGGATCAATTGTAAAGAGGGTTTGTGGATTATAGTTAGGTCAAACCATAGAATTATCAAAAAGTAATTTGATCATACTTACATAAATACTCCGTAATTAATTAATTCAATCAAGCATTTTAGATACAATTCAAGTTATTTTAACACTTCAATTGTGCTAGAAGGCAACTAGACTAAGTATAAATTTTTTATCTGTAGCTTAATTTACTTTCTCTCAAGGGATTATTCGATCAATTCTGATGATGGGACCTTTCAAAGATGTGGCTCGCCCTGTGTTTAAAAAAATAGAAAAGAAAACAGAGTACTAGCTTAGATTAAAGTGAAAGTAAGATACAAGATTATGTAGTGAGTCAAAATCGAGTGGTGGTAGTGGTGTGTAGGAGTAACGTTGACCACCGTCACCGTGCATAAAATGGGTCGGCAAATTCACAGTCAATCAAAGAATAAGTTTACCAATTTCAACGTTACGGATACACTCATAATTGCTCTCTGTTGGTCTACAAGTAGTAATTAATTCTATTAGTTATGATCAAAGATACCCATATCCAAACTTTCTTATTCAGTAATTGTGATATGACCACAAATCATATACTTTGCTTCAAAAAAAATATAAACGGAGTAATTAAAAAATCAAATTGGATCATCCAAAACGTACTCTCAAAATTTAAGAAAATAAATTTTTTGTTCATTTTAAACTAGAGATTTTATGGTTCACATTGTTTATCTTCTTTAATCAAATTCATTTTAGCAATATACCCCTCCGTCCCTAAATAAATTTCCTTTTTCGTTTTTTCTTTGTCCCCAAATAAACTTCTCTTTTCCCTTCAAAAACCCCTTTTACCCCTTATTTTTTCATACCCTACCTATCACATCATACCTTTTTACTAATAATCTACATATCACATCTTACTTTTACACATCACATCAAAGGTATTTTTGGAAAGTCAACACAAAAATATCCTTCCCTTAAATCTTCAAAAAGTCAAAAACGGAAGTTTATTTAGGGACGGAGGGAGTATTAACTTTGCATCTTTTGGACGTGTTGAATAAATCAATACTCAAGAAGTCCAAAAACAAAAGTTTAAACCACAAACCCGAGCTTTTGCATTTAATCCATTTTTTTTAAAAAAAATAAAAAAATTTATGTACTTTCTTAAGAGTTATATAAGCATTAAATACTCCGACAACTCTGTATAATATTGTGATAATCATGTATTTCCTCTGTCGCTGAAACATTTTTCCTCAGTGATTTTTTGAGGATTTAAGGAAGAAATGTTTTTGTGTTAACTTTCCTAAAATACTCTTGATGTGATGTATAGATTATTAGTAAAATGGTATGATGTAATATATAAGATATGAAAAAGTAAGAGGTAAAAATAATTTTTTAATAGGTAAAAAATACAACTGACCCAACCGTTTGCATTTAATCCGTTTATTTAAAAAATTAAAAAAATTTATGTACTTTCTTAAGTTAACATCACTTTAGTATTTAATTTAATCTGTGTAAAGATAAATTATAATAGTATTAATTTTGTGACTTACAAATCTTAGAAAAATGTTGTTCCAATCCTATTTACGACATTTAAAGACAAACACTATACACGAGCGACAAAGTTGTTGAAAAGACATTTGCAAAACAAACAAACAAATATACATGCATGCATGCACGCACAGAAAAAAATACTTATTCTATCTTAATGTCTCTAACTACTCCTATCAAATTTTATTTTAGAGTATTTTTCTTATTCCTTAAAAATGACAAAAAAATCGTATAGAGAAAGAATATATATACTCGCTTCCCTTCATTTCCCAATTAAAGTAAAATGTCTATAATTAAAATTTGTTCAGCAAAGTGACAAATGCAGTGAGTTGCATAGCCAACTTTAACCTCAATTAAATAAAAAATATAATGTATATTAGTATGAAAATAATTTTATTAAATTTAAAATTTGATTTTATTATATAAATATGTTATATAAATTAAGAATAATTCCTAATTAAAATTTGTCTAGTTTGACTTGAAAAAATCATGCTCCATAATAGACAAATACATTATTAGAACGGAAGAAATAGTTTTTAAACAATAGTGGTTATAATTTTTTTTATAAAGAAGAATAAAATCATGAAAAGATGACAACGACGAATGATACTCAGCTCCTTCCTCTCACAAAATTATACGGAGTATGCATTTTGATTTTTTATTAAATATTGAAAAAAATTGACGATGATATATAGAAAAAGTAAATTCAATTATAATATAAATTTAATAAGATTGGCCTTATTTTAAGATGTAGCTTTTTTAAACTAAATAATTTTTAGAACATTTATTTGGGAGTATTTATATTGTGAATTAAAGTTCCAATACGATTGTATTTTTTTTCACAAAAGCAATAAAAAAAGAAAAAACGATTACAGAGTGTTACTAATAAGAAGATTATTGTTTCTTATATTGACTTCAGATTCATATAATAGAAAATATCTCCAATTGCATTTTAATCACTGAAATTATATACACAGAGTAGCTTTTATTGTAATTCCTAAATACGGAGAAAATTTCATAGTTAAGTACGGAGTATATAACAATATGTAAATAAAATAAATTAAAAGAGATTTTAGTCAAGCATTTAGAAAGAAGTTATGATATGCAGATATACTATACATAATTGAACCAAATTCAACCGCATTGACCTTAATTGTTATGTAAAAAATACTGGATAAATGTTAAAAACATGCAACAACCTAAAATGAAACAAAGACAAAGACACAAGAAGATAAAAGTCATGAAGATCTAGCTCTATGTTCGCAAAAGGACGATGAACAAAAGTTACAAGCAAAAAGAATACTTTGGTACTCTCAACATTAATTTTATTTTTTATTTTAGTATTGTTTTAAAAAGGCTAAGATTCAAACATAATGTGTTTTACACAACTAAAATTATACTACCTCCGTCCCAGAGTATTTGTCCACTTTCATTTTTACACACCATCCAATACACTTCTTTAATCTATTTTATCTTGTAATTTGTATATTAAAAAATTATAGAAATTATATATTAATAATCTATATGTTAAGACAAATCAAACAAGATCACACATGACTATATTTAGGCTTACACATTGAGAGAATTTGATGAGTCAAAGTGCTTAGATAAACAGTTCCAAAAGTCAAAACTGGACAAATACTCCGGGACGGAGAGAGTATAGGACATGCTTGAAAATAGCTTTAAAGATTAACATTAGCGTTTTGAAAGGCTATCTACAGTCAGTGAATATTTTCAAAGCTAACGTTAATCTCTAACGCTATTTCCAAAGAGACCTATACTCTATCCGTGTGTATAAATACGTAAATACCTAACAATAAATAAAATAGTGGCTACAACGATGCAGCGGATGGCCTTACAAAAGTATATACGGAGTATATAATTAGGGAAAATGATTTTTTTGAGATATGGAAAAGGATGTTAGTGTAAACTTACTCTCTCCGTCTCTGAAAACCTTTCTTTTTTCATCCGTCCAAAAAAATTTATCATTTCTATTAAAAAGTTACTTTTATCACTACTAATTATTAACCTACCTATCGCATCATATGTATTCATCATTAATTTGTCCATTAAATCCTATTTTTACCTATCATATCAAAGAACGTTTTTGGAAATTAAACACCAAAATACACTTCTCTTAAATCTCTTAAAAATCAAAATCTTCCATATTTTTAGGGACGAAGGGAGTATTAGTATTAAATAATTAATTAAGTCTTACATGATGTTTCTCTGTGCTTACAAACTGGTCAAAATTATTTTTAATTTATATATAGGTCAGCTGATCGATGATGTACTTCTCTGTGCTTATAAGCTACTTATAAGTCACAAAAAATAAGTAAATCTTAACTACTTATTTTTAAGATAGTTTTCTATTTTTCTGATCCAACTAAATTATTTATAAAATTATCTCTCACTATTTATCCTCAAATAACTTATCTATCATCCAAGTCATTTCACTTCTACGAAACATTTTTTAACTTAAATTAAAAAGCGAGAACTTCCTAGATATGAGTAAAATAATCATGAGAATACCAAAATAGAAATCATAACTTATTTAAGACCAAAATAGAAGTTCACACTGTCATTGTTACACTACCGCACTCACCATATTATCACATTGTAACTGTCATATTATAACCGTCACGTAGTTAAATATATTAAGTGCGAATGTGCGATATATATTAGGAGCAATTTAAATACTTCATAGGACAAAGAGACGTTGACCATTTATATAGGAGTATATATCACTCCCTCCGTTCCACAAAACCCTTCCGGTTTTGACTTTGGGAAAAAAAAAGGAAAGTGTAATTTTGTTTGACTTTCCAATATTGCCCCTGATGTGATGGGAAAAAGTAAAATATGATAGTTTGGTTATTAGTGAAAAAGTATGATGTGATAGGTAGGGTATGAAAAAATAGGGGTAAAAGTGGTTTTTTAATAGAAAATGGAAGTGTTTTGTGGAAAGCAAAAAAACAAAAGATGAAGGGTTTTGTGGAACGGAGGGAGTATATAGTTTAATGCCCCAACTATATTTAGTCAATAAAGTATCTCTCTAAATGTTGAAATAATGAAATCCTAATTTTTAAAAAAAAGGAGTATTTAAATGTGAGTTCTAGCAGTTTCAAAAACTTACGCTCATAGGAAGAAGGGACAAGGTGGACACGATGAGAAGGTCACTACATTGTTTATGTTTTTTTATATTAATTAAAGTTACAATTACTATTCACATACAAAATCAAATTGTATCTTTTTCTTTACATATTTTCTTCGATTTTTTCTTTAAATATTTTCATCGATTATTTAAAAAAAATAATAACATAATGTCACTTCTTTTTGTGTCAAACTTTTAATTTAGTTTTTAGTAGTGATAGGTATAAATTCTATTTTTATTTTTGCACAATTTATAAAAAGAAATTTACATAAATATCCCCTGTCACATAATTATCCACAGTTATTTGTGAACAAAGGCCCTTTATTGAGTTCAAAATAAATTTTTGCACATCTTAAAATTATACTCTGTTCTAAAAAAAAACTCTCAATTTGACTTGGCACAAAGCTTAAGGAAAGCAAAAATGTGTGGTTAGGGTTGAAGGTGATACAGTGGAGAGATAAAGACTGCGAGTCACACAAATTTTTCCATAAAAAGAAAGAGGGGTATTTTTTTGGGACGTCCCGAAAGGAAAATAAGAAGTGTTTTTTTGAGACGGAATGAGTACAAGAGTAGTTCTCAAAAAAAAAAAAGTTAGGGAGTACTAAATTTTGTTGCTTTTAGAATTGGGAACTCAAAGGGTGGAACTCAACCAAGCTATCAAATTTGGAATCAAAGCGAGCTTAGAATAACGTCAGTGGTAGTTTTTGCGCCTCTAGTAATGCAGAAAAGGCCTACAAGAAGAAATTACTCCCTAGTGAAATAAGATGGGAAGTGGTGAATCGGTAGAAAAACCTGGAAAATTTTCAGCCCATTTAGGAAGGAGTCAGCCTGCTTCTGGCAACCTGCAACTGTCGTAAGTGACGTCTTTTAATCCCTTCCCGGAACAAAACACTTCCATAACCTTTATTAGCTTCGATAACGGGAAAAGGTTGATATGTATTTCTCGCAACCGGTTTCTTCTTTAGGTATTTTGCTGCCTGTGCTTGAACTGATAAACCCACCAAATAGGCCAATAGCATAAACAACGAGAATGCAGTTAAGCACAACAGTTTGAGGTTTGAAAAGATTTTGTTTAGTTAAAGCTTGTCATTGGGAGTGCAATTATGAGTTTTAAAAAGAGATTGTTCAATTTTGGTTGACACTGGGAGTGCAATTTGCACTTATAATATTATCAAGGTGCAATTTGCACTTATATCATGATATTATTGAGGTGCATTTTGCAGTTATGGACTTATATTATTGAGGGGCAATTTTCAGACAATGTGAGAGTTGAGAGTGCTAGCAGAGGACCATCTTTGGCAAATCAACAAAGTAATGAAAGTTATGATACCAGAATGTGAAGAAGCAGTGATAGAAGCAGCATCTTTGAGATTCTTGATTTTTTCAATCAAATGCACATTTTTGGAGAGGTCACCAGTCTGACCATCAACTGTATTGCTATCTGCATCAAAGCATGATAATGCCTTCTCACATGCCTACAACATAGAAAGACACGTGAAAGACAACGGACAAGAAATGAAAACTTTACTCAGATCAATATAAAGAACGTCTGGAAGTAATATAAAGTTGAAAAAACTGCATGGAAGGATTAAAGAGCAAGCACGTGGCGTGGACGAAGCTTGTTTACATATATAGTGAACCGAGACTAATGAAAGGACTGCATTATATAAACTTTACCATTCTAGCAATAGAACAAAAACCATTCTGAAATGAATGTTCCGCAAATGTAAGCCATTCAATGCAGGAGACTCGAAGATTCTGATCACTGGGAGCCTTTCGTTCTCGCATTAACAATGCTTCGTACCTCAACGCCAAACAACTCTATGCAATGCAAAAATCGGAAAACGTCATAGAAAAAAAAAGATTCTAATCACGAAAAGCTAGAAACTATAGAGCCAGCAATATTAGCAAAGACTCAGGGAGAAGGGGATTTATTCTTTCCAGAGTGTAACCTTTACCTTCCTCCCCGTTAAGTGAATAAGTGGTGCAAACGCTACGATCTAAAACTATTCTGTATATCGAATGGTAACAACGGGCTCTACAGATTGTTTCAGTGGTTAGACAGTCTATACAAGTCTAACTCCTCATTCTCTTGGCTTGGCTTGGCACGGTGAGATTATGGATGCAAAATTAAGAGGAAAAAAAAAAGTGTTTTCTGTCTTAAGCCTTATAACATTATATGATTACAGTTTCTAATACATAAGCATCAATCCATGTCCAATGTGAATATAAAATCAAAGCATTCATATGGAAATTAATCGCCAATGAATCTGTGTAGCAATCTATTGACACGGCTAATGGAAATCAAATCAGGCAGTTATGGAAAATTGAAATTGCAAAAGAACAACTATCCAGTAACATAAAAACCGATAATGGCTAAAATCTTCATACGTATACCTCATCATCGCCAATAAGAGCGAAGACGCGGACGAGAAATTCCACAATCAGAAGATGATCGTCAACAGATCTGAGAGCGCTAGTTTCACGGAGGATACAGAGAGATTCGCGTCGCATGAAATCCTTCAAAGCGGAGGCGATCTGATTCAGCGATTTTGCGTCGCCGGAGACTAAAATGGACTCGAGAATTCGGAGAGTTGCGTCATCGAATCTGCACACAAACAGGCCACCTTCGTCGTCATTGGAAATGAGATTATTCGAAGCATAGAAAAGAGAAATAATACCAAATCAGTGCGGGTTTTCACCTTCGGTTTTGGATTTGGGAGCGGAAGAGGGAAATTTGCCGCGAGACTTCCATGGACAATATTACGTAGTACTTCTCAGCCGAGAAGTAAAAGTGGCGCGTTCAATTGAATAAAATTTGGTACTGGAACGGGAGTAGATATGCATTCAAAATTCAAAACTAGGTCACAATATATTTCTTAAAGAAAATTAGAAAACGCTTAAATCTTGGACTTGTGGTTTAAGTGCCATTTGAGACGATTTAGTAGTTATCTTACTATAATTTTGTAATTCATGCACTAGCGGCTTAAGTGTACTATGTGGCTCATTCACTTTTGTTTATAGAGAGAAAAAATGAAAATCTATTATAATTTTAAAAAAACTTGAAATTTTGCTCCCTTTGAAATTCATTCAAACGTAATAAACTAATACATCAAATGAAAAAATAAAAATTTACTCGATAACAAAATAATAGATTTTACTCATATTCTACTCTGTATTATATATATCTTCTCAAATGCACAAGGAAAATGTACTCAATCTTAAAGCTAAGTATCAGTTCATGTTGACCTCTTCGACCAAATCAAATAAACATGAATTATTAATTAAATTAAAAACACATTAGATTAAAAACTAGTATGTAGTAAAATAGTTGTTTGGAAAACAAATCTTAAAAAATTGTTTGTATACTCCACATTCAATAAACAACATGATTTTTATTTAATTATTGATCAAGTTCATATGAGTAATTTTGAACTAAACATATTGTTAATGATAATACTTGGTTATGCTCATCTCATTTTGAATATTCAAATCGTTGTTGTGTTATCCGTAAGATGGAGCATACATAATGAGTCATACTTAGGTATTGAACCATACATCGAACTCAGACATTTTACACCAACAACAGCAAAAAGAGGCAAAAAAAAAGACGCGTACAGAAATAAACATTTGGATGATGTATTCGGCATGCAATTTGACCAGCCTTTTAATCAACTCCTGGTCATCATCAGATGGAATTGCAGCGGTCACCAAGTTGTCCGGCGAGCTGTTGCCCGTCCAGTCGAGCTTTGATATGGCAAAAGCCGTTTCAGCCAAAATACGCACACGTTTCAGCCAATAATATATTTTTTATTATTTGATATAATTATCATATTATAAAATCATTTCAATTATCTATTCAACCGCAACGCCTATTTTATTCATTACTTTTTATGCATATTTCAAAACTCGACCAATTACATATCATCATGTTGTTGGTAATCTTTTCACGAGGTCTATCCAACGACACCAAATTTGATTATATAATTTTAACATCATGACTTATTTATATTTTTAGCACTAAAAAAGTAAAAAATTGCACTCCTGAACTAACACTTCCAAATTGAGTTCTGCTCTTATTTTTAGTTTCAGATGGTCAAAACTAGAATAATGATACATTACAAAGTTTGTATTCACAACTTCATTTTTTTCTCACTCCGGACCCATCTCATGCACCTATTTATTCTTTTTAATCAATTAATACTAATAAATCCGCTCAATAAAATACTCACATTTATCTATTAAGATAATACGTATCTTAAACTCTCAATTGCATGATCAAAGCCTTATTGATAACATTTAATTATTTAAATAAGTCATTCCTCATGATTAAATAATATGTATTTATTCTCAAAATAACGGTCAACTTTTAAACCAGTTTCCAGAGCGCTACAAATTTTTGAGAATAAGATTATGAGATTCAAAAATAGATATACTATTTTCCAAATCTAAAACATTTTACGGTATTTTTTGATATTATAGGTTGACATTATTTACATTGTAAGTTTTACTCTGGGATAAAAACACGAAAATATTATTTTGATTCTTTTTATATATTTTACTCTTATTTGGTTAGAGAAGAAAAGAAAAGAAAAATAGAAAGAAAAGAAAATGAACTAAGAAAAATGAAAACAAAGTTCCTCTCATTTATTTTAGTGAGAAAATGAAAGAAAATAATTTTCTCTTTTTCTTCCCAAGCTTTTGAATCAAGTATAGTATTCCGTATAAAGAATCCTTCCATTTTCTTTTTTTTTTTCCTCTCTAATCAAACAAGAAAAACAAATTTCCACTTCATTTCTTTTTTTTTCTTTCTAATTTCTTGAACCAAAAATAGTGTTAGTGTTTCCTTCCTCTCTTCAAACCAAACAAAGTGAAGGGAAGCTCTCCCATCCCTTCATTCCCTTCCCATCCCCTCCCAACCAAACAGACCCTAAAAGTGGAATTACAGGCAGTAACACATAAATTTAATTACACTGAGCTAACCAAACAGTACAGATGGAACCTCACATCGAAACCCCAAATGGCCAAATTCTTTGATAAGCCAACTGCCAATCCGAACTCATCGGCTTCACTTCATGCCGATATGGGCTTTCTTGAAGGGGAAAAAAAATCAAAACTTGCCTAAGCATTCAATGACAATGCTGCAAAACACAAGCAAGTATCACTCCCAATCGACTCCGCCGAGTAGCCATAACAAAATGGATACAAGGGGAGATGCTAACCAATGGAGAAGATCATATGTGTGAAGAGATACCGAAACAGATGTCGAAAGTTGAACAAAAAACCTGCAGGTACCCACAGAGGGATCAACGGTTGTGATCAAGCCCAGCCCTCCAAAGTCACATCCATCTGCATTCTGGCTGTTCTGTTGATAATAGCTGTTGAAGGCGTAGGAGATGTTACCCGGCCAACCAATGTCGAAACATGATCCTCCGCGGGACATCGCACTGCAATCGGATGCAGAGCATGCATATGAGGCTTGTGCAGTTGCATTGGATAAATCTTTGTTGTTGTTCACCACACACCATTTCGAAGGAAGGTAATGGACATTTTGGCCATTTACCATTTTTCTTGAGCCCTGCCCAAAGTCTACATGGTACTTTGCTTGTCCATCAAATGTGAACACTCCCCAGTGTCTCTCGAAATTCCCACTAGCCACGTCTCTCTTGTCTTCGTCCAAAAGGCTCATTATGTAAGTTTGGGGCGGTGGTTTTTTGGACTGCGGTAAATTTCCAGATTTGCCCTTGAGGTGTTCCACAAGCCCTTTTAAGAATACCTCTGCATTGGATGGTGTAGCATTAGCAGCACCATCCGTTGGCCAACCGATACGCCCAATGATTATATCCAATTCGGGAAATCCAGCGCTGGACAGTGCTGACTCAAGAGTTTCATAGATTAACTCAAAGCTGCTTTTGGACGCCACGTGACTTGGGCCCACATTTTCCTTGAAAAGAGCAGCGTCAAGGGAGACATTCTTGTTTTGAAGGTAACTCTGAAAAGGGGAAATTGTCACAAATAGAGGGGATTGATGGTGGCTAAGAAACTTCAGGACTTGAACCATGGTTTCGTTGATGTCTGTTCTGAAATTTCCTCTTGGTGGCATTCCAGATTCGGACTGGATCGCATCAAAACTGCATGGGATTGCCACTTTGATCTCTTTCGCGAAGTTGGCTTTGGCCAATGCTGTTTGAATGTTTGTGGCTGCCCCAACCAGAAAAGGATAGAACTCCATGCCATAAGTCTCAAGGAACGGCTCATCTCCGACCAAAACATACCTGTGAATGCATGTGTTAGCAATGTGTAAGGGTCCATTCCCAAACCTTTTCCTGGATCCATATAACACATTCTTAGAAAAGAAAATTGTCCTCTTGTATCAAACATTCATGATTGAAATGCCACGCAACAACATAAAACACAACAAGGATTACAAAATCAACCGAACATTTAATGATAAGGCCGGGGTAGTACTACCACAACAAAATCACACTCCAATTGCAATGAGTCAAAATCACCACAACAAAATCACACTCCAAATTCATTCTTTTCAGCGTAATTTTACCTAGAGCTCGTAGATGGGAGTCAAAAGCCTATAGTGTGGAAGTTGAAGTCTCAAGCATTTTTTTTAGTATGAACTGAAATCTAAAGTGTGGAATCTCATAACTAGAGTCTGGATAATTGGAGTTAAAAGTTGAATTGAGAGACGGTTAAACCAAGCTCAGAATCCAGGAATGAAAAAAGAACATACTGAATTCGGACACGAGAAGAACCTTCAGCGAAGTATCTGGTGATGTTATCGTGAACCCAGCTCTGGGCGGCCTTCAAGGAGGAATTCAAGCTGCGAAGCATGGAATCGGGGATGCCCACCGTGACGTCAATGTTGGAACCGGACAGAGATTCGAGAGCTTCTGGATCTGCTTCGAGGAGCTTCACCTTGGTGATGCCATTGGCCTTGAGAATCTGCACCGCCGTCTCCGCCGGGAGAGGGTGAGACGCCGCCCTGCCCCAATTCACCCCTAGGGCTTCAGCGATGGCTGGAGAGAAGGTCGGGAGGGTCTGAATTACAATCCATGTGAGTAATAAGCCACTCGGAGACGGCGCCATTGATGGTGCTAAACCAAGGAGGCTAATCGGGATTTTACGGCGCTACATGCTGGGTGGTGGATACTCCCTCCGACCCTCCCGAGACATTGTCCGCAAAATGAGAAACATTTTTTTTAATTTATTGTATGTAAAAGTTATTATATAAATAAAATGTTAAATTTATATATTTAAGAATTATGTTAAAATTTACAAAATAAAAATAAGAAGTGACAATAATAATTAATATTATCAATTAAACAATGAAAACTGTAAATAAATAAAAATTATCATAAATTTTAAATAATATAGAGTGACATCTATTGTACGAGTAGGTTTCTTAAGTACATGAATTTGTTTTAGTGCCTTGTATGGAGTATCTCAATTTATAAAAACTCTGTAACTTAAAAGATTGTTTTATTGTAATGTTTCATCATAAACATCACTAATATAATATATTATTTTCTTAATTTTTTCAATTTTATATGCTTCATAAATTTTTTGTTTAATAAAAACTATTACTAAAATAGATGATAGACAGATCGTATGTGATGGATAGATCAAATATTGAGTGCATGGTATACACACACACATACATATAAAAGATGATAGATGGATCGTTTGTGATTGTTGTATATTTTAAACTTAAATAACTGTTCAAACTGCTGGGCATGATCGGTCAAGTTTTGAGAAAAAGCGAATAGTCATATTTACAAGTCTCTAAATGACCATGTCAAAAAGTGATCGGTCAAGTTTTGAAGAAAAAAAAGTGTCCGACCAAGCTTACATAGTTGCTCGGTCAAATTTTATAAAGTTGTTCGATCATCTTTTCGTATTTCTCTTTTCTTAAAATGAGTCAATAATATTTACCCGATCATGAAGTGGAAAAAGGTGGCCCATCATTATTAGCATGCAAGGACACGAGATGTATCTCCATCAAGTAGGGACTAACACTTTTGGATGGACAATGTATGTGACGACGACAAAGGCCCACTCAACCGTCTAAAGCAGTAAAAGATGTCTTGAAGTCCATCAATTTTTAGACACTATTTGATATGCTAATCTTTGATTTGTCAAAAATTGAACAATATTAAAATTGCTATTTATTGATTGGTCTATGAGTCAACAATAATTATACAACACATGTGACTCATCCACTTTATGAATATATGTTATAGAGAGATAAGTAGATTCAATTCCACTCATCCAAATGCTTGAAACAAAGTAAGAAATATATTTAGACATAGAAAGTCTTCATCAACCTAGGTTACACTTTGCAACGCTCTTAGTTTTAGTCTTTTACTTAACATTCTTGTCTCATATAATCTGACAGGTTAAGTATATTTTGTCAAATTTGTCTTGGTTACTTTTTACGTAGTTAAATTTACACTATTAGTATTATATTTTTAAAGTTAATAAATGAGTGTGAATGAAGCTCCACCCAACCAAAATACAACTCATTGTTATCTCTAACTTTGCTTTATAACTTTGATACTTCATCCGTCCCCTTGTATTTGTCCACTTTTATTTTTACACACCATCCAATGCACTTCTTTAATTCATTTTATCTTGTAATTTGTATATTAAAAAATTATAAAAATTATATATTAATAATCTATATGTTAAGACAAATCAAATAAGATCACACATGACTATATTTAGGCTTATACATTGAGAGAATTTGAGGAGTCAAAGTGCTTAGATGAACAGTTCCAAAAGTCAAATATAGACAAATACAGGGGGACAGAGGGAGTATTAGCTTTCAAAAAAAAACATTGAGATTTCTACATATATAATTAAGATATGTTGAATAGCTCTCAAATACAAGGGACCGTCAATATATGCTCAAAGGCTTTGTCGTGAAATAATATTTATGAAGGACATGTTAAATTTTTCATAGAGTTGAGTATATGTGAAAACTTTTATGTTATAAATATTGTTTTTTGAGAAATTACTCGAAATTACTCTTACATTTATTTTGTAAAAATTTTTAAGAAATTAATTTATTATGTTTATATTCTACACAAATTAGATATAATTAAATATTGAACTTTATTTTGCTTGATGTAAAAAAAATAATTTGAACAAATAAGGATTATTTTGAGACGAAGAAATGTTTTTTTTTTCAAAATTTAATGTGCCAATGCCGGGTGTCACGTAGTCCATTTTTGTTTCACTTATAGCCCATTTCCTCTCAGGCCTAAAAACGGCCCAACGCTTTGCGGTTCCTAGACAATCCAGAAAGTATATAAACGTAAAATGCTTATCAGAAGTCTAGGGTTAGACTGGACAATCTCAAGAAACGGCAGCGGAGCAGCACCGGCGGCAGGCGGCCGATCACCCGGGACTTAGATTTTCAGCTGACCACCCGCCAACATGGTTCTTCTTTTCGCACCCTAATCTCATTTTTTCATTATTGTTATGAGCTGATTTATGTGAACTGTTCTTTCGTCTCTGCCAATCCGATGCTCCATTATTCATTAACTGTTCATGAGGATTATTGAAAATGAATCCCACATTGTAGATCAGGAATTAATTTTGAGAATCTGTCCGCCTTCTTCGTCAGGGAAAGACGCGTTTTCCTTCTGTTTTGAAAATTTGGGCCATGTTTAGCTTTCAGTGTATGATTACAGTCATAATTAACTGCTGTGGCGGATTCATTATCACCTATAAATGCTTTCTAGACGATTCACATTCAAACTACAGTGTCATATTTTGCAAAATGCATTAGATTCATTCTAAGTTGCATGAAGCCAAGAATGGGTGTTCATATGGGGATGGGATTAGCAACATGGGAACACCAACTTTTCCCAATTGGAAGAAGAATTTGAATGGCGAGACTTCTTCAAGTACCCAAATGGATATGTCTGGGACACTGGAAAAGATGAAAATTTTTTGCAACATAGGATTCCTTAACTTGTTTCTTGAAAGACCTATCATCTGTAAATATGGTTGTATTTACACATCAAATAATGTTGTCTCATGTTTGGTTTTAATTTGTCTGTTGCATTTATTTGCTGTCTATACCAGGCTAGAGGTTTGAAGAAGCACTTGAAGAGGCTAAATGCCCCCAAACATTGGATGCTGGATAAACTCGGTGGGGCATTTGTAAGTTGACGATCATATGCATGTTCTTATCTGTTCAAGTAGTTAGGTTCTTTGATTAATATTCTCTCATATTTGTCGTTATTAAATTTCTGTTATTTTAAATGTTTACTTTATAGGCACCTAAGCCTTCTTCTGGACCACACAAATCTAGGGAGTGCTTGCCGTTGATCCTTATCATTCGGAACAGGTTGAAATATGCCCTCACATACCGTGAAGTCATCTCCATTTTGATGCAGCGACATGTTTTGGTAGACGGTAAGGTTAGGACAGACAAGACCTATCCTGCAGGTTTCATGGGTAAGTGAATGTCAACTGTTGCTATATATATTCTGTCTGTTGCTTCTATGGAATATGATCATGTTCTTTTATTGTTAGAGATACTTAGTTTTTTTACTTGACTGAAATTTTCAGATGTTGTTTCAATTCCAAAGACAAATGAGAACTTCCGTCTCCTCTACGATACAAAGGGACGTTTCCGGCTTCACTCAATCAGGGATGAGGAGGCTAAGGTGAATATTTTGTATAGCTGTTGTCTTCACTTTTCTATTGCTGAGTACTTACAGAGTATAGCATGTGAGCCATCTGTAGGAGAAGTAAGTTCCATTGGTACCTGAAAAATGTAAAATTTTATAATTAGGATGCAAAACAAAGGAGAAAGTTGAAGAAGAGAGCTAATCATATTTCATTTTCCTTTCATTCTCCTTGATAAAATAAATTCAAGATTATAATTTTCTTCTGCATATTTATCATGTCATAGCATATTACCCTTAGTGTAGAAAAATAATTTCAATACTTGAGCTACTTAGTTTGGTGTTTGATGTGCTTTTACATTGCAAGCCTTTGTGTTAAATAAATGCCATCCTCATCTTCTGTGTTCGTTTTCAGTTCAAACTCTGCAAAGTCCGTTCTATCCAGTTTGGAAAGAAGGGAATTCCATACCTCAACACCTATGATGGTAGGACCATCCGCTACCCGGACCCTCTCATCAAGCCCAACGATACAGTAAAGTTGGACTTGGAGTCCAACAAGATTGTGGACTTCATCAAGTTTGATGTTGGGAACGTGGTCATGGTGACGGGTGGGAGGAACAGGGGGCGTGTTGGAGTCATTAAGAGCAGGGAGAAACATAAGGGAAGCTTTGAGACCATCCATGTCCAGGATGCCCTAGGCCACGAGTTTGCCACCCGGCTTGGGAATGTCTTTACTGTGGGTAAGGGCACTAAGCCCTGGGTTTCTCTGCCCAAGGGGAAAGGTATCAAGCTGACCATTATTGAAGAGGCAAAGAAGAGGCTTGCTGCCCAGTCTGCTTTAACCGCCTGAGGAAGATGAACCCTCTTGACTTGGTTCTTCCATTGCCCACTCATCTGCTATGAAGAAAAATTCGATTCGAAAGAAATTTTGTTTTGCAGATGGGGCTACCGATGCTCCTTTTCATAAATCACAAGTCTAAAGCTGTCTCATTTCTTTTTTACTCTTTACAACTCTCATTTAGATGTGTACTGTTTTCAAGGATTCAAAATTCTATGCTTTTTTTCCCAACGAGTATAAAAGAGTTTTCCCTTTTTATCTTAGTTATTCAGTGTCGTCTGTGTGAGAGCATAATGGTTTAGTCATTTAGTTAGGAAGAATGAATTTCAAAGATTCCCATGTTAAAGACATTTTTTCTATTGCACTACGTATTTATATCTATATAATGGATTTTGATTTGCATCATCTTTATTGAGAAAAACAATTCTATGAGTGATTTATTTTGAAAAATTGTACCAATAATTTCAAGTCATAACGAGAACTGCTAGAAAGTAACCTGTAATTTTGATGGTGCTACTAATAAATCAAAGTTTACATTAGTGTGTCAAAGAGTGATCAACACACTAATGTTGTTACCAATCGTTACTTTTTTTTTTTATATAAATTATGATCCAATTAAACCACTTTTAAGTCCATTGAAATTACAAAAATGCATTTATCAAAATTGGGCAGAAAAGTTCCGATCCTTTAATCAAACCAAAATAATCTTTAGTCATTTCTCTTATTTTCCTAAACGGTACATTTGACTGCTAGGTGCTCATTTTAACCGATATTATTTGTAGGGTAGGTTTCTAGACCGTAATTATTTATCTTTATTTTTCAATACAAAATTTATAGAATAATACAAAGTTTGACATTAAAGATGACAATATGAGACTTTTTTTGTACAAATAGTTATTGTCATGAAAAAATAGTGTGTAAAGTGGTGTGCACCTAGCACCAGTCAAAGAGGTATACAACGTAGTTTATTTGACACTAGTGGTGTCAACCTGGTGTCATTTTGGTATTATTATAATATGTTCATTTTCAATAAAAAATGCTAAAATAACACCAAACTTGATAATATTAAACTATTTTTCACAACGACGATATATATTGATGAAAACTCTTTCCTTGTATCTTGGATATAATAAAGTGATGTGCTATGGTGGCGTGAGGATGGCTTGACTACCTCCTTTACGCCCCCACTCTCCATAACACATATAGCGTGAGGGGGCGTCGACCCTTCCTTGGTGACTAGCATCACGATACTTCACCCACTTTTTTTTTTAAATTTTCAATCAATCAAAATATAACATACATTTATTTCAAATAATCAAAATAATTCACACATTCACCTCATCACATGGTAGTAACTTCTCCCTTTAAAGCTCCATAACACACATATACTCGCACTCGCCTGCTTCTTACGTGGGACACCTCATCAAATCCCGCAATAACACATTATTTTTTAGTATTAAATTTAGTATTATCGAATCCTTATATTATTATAAGAGGTAAGTTATCACTCATTTTGTATAGTTTAAAATACTTTCATTTAGAGGAAATCAAATAGGAGACATATAATATTATAATCTCATATTGTGTATGATCCCAAGAGATATATTGGGACGTAGTACATCTAGCAATAGCATGAGTAATTACATTCAAATTTCTAATACTCGTAAAAAATGCAAAGTTACTATTCTAATCATTCGTTAACTATTATTTGTCTTTATGTTTTTATTGACCAATTGAGAAAACTTTTGATGTAATTTTTAAATGTGTAAGTTTCCTTTTTTTTTATACCAATAAAAAATTACAAAATCTTGCAAATTTTACGAATTGCATAATTTAATGGGAGAAAGACTAAAGTAGGATCAAAACATTGAAAGCATACCGAAATAGGACTTTCATGTTTTTATTCCCGAAATAGGACTTAAAATTTATTTACATTACTAAACACGGTCATGTACATTACCAAAACATATAGTAATGTGCACATGTACAGTGCCACATTACAACCGCATTACCACAGTCAGAAAACCTATTTCGAAAACAAACATGAAAATCATATTTTGATACTTTTTTCTATATTTTAGTTCTATTTATAGTAATTTCTATTAGGCCCCGTTTGGTACACGGAATTCAAACTTTGGAATTGGAATTGAGAACTTCAATTCCAATTCTGTGTTTGGTAGCACAAAAATTATATGGATATAGAACTGATAGTGCAAAAAATGAATTGGAATTGGTGAATTCAATTCTATGGAATTGAATCCCATGAAATTTCAATTCTAATTCAATTCTAATTTCATCAAATTCATGTACCAAACGGACCCTTAATTTAATTTGGAAGGGAGAGAATAAACATGTTTTGTGGGAAATCAGCCAAATAATTTCATTTTCTTTCATTTGTCGCAAGCTTGGAGCAAGCATGCTATAGAGTCAGACTCTTTTTGTCTGTTCTTCATTCCCTTCCCTCCCCCCATCATCAACGCGAAAAGAACAGGACAGAAGCAGACTAAATGAAAATGGTACCTTCTAAAATTTCATCCATCGCCCTATAACCAGAGAGACCTTCACGCCCATTTTTAATCTCACATTTTTACTCTCTCTCTCTCTCGCCGTCTCCGTCTCCGGCAGACCTGAAAAGCAGAGACAGCCATGGCAGCAGCGCTGGAATGCTGGTCCAGCCGAGCCAGTACGGACGAGGACATGGCGGAGCAAGTCCTCATGAGAGCGGGAGACAGATCGGAAGGTGCGCTGAGGAACGCCGCATCTTCCTCCTTCGATGTGTGCGGAGGCGGTGCCGGCGGCCTCAAGGAGTCGTCGGCGATGCAGAAGCGGTTCCAGAAACTGGGCAGGAACGTTTCCGAAGCCATTGCGTCGCTGAAGAACTCGTTTAACATCGATTCTGTTCGAGAATCTCCCGCTCCTCCTCCTCCTCCTCCGGCCGGCCGTACGGACGGATGCCGGAAGCAGTTTTGGGCCGGCGTCGTGCGCAGCCTGACTCAGCTCTACCCTGGCAGTCAGCTTCCCGAGAGACTCGTTTCCAACATCCGCAAGCATTACGACTCTTTGCCTCTCAGGTTAACCCTCCCGCCTATACTGTTCTGCAGATTTACTGTTTCGATTTATTATTTCCCGAAAAAAAAAATCCGACGATTTATCATCTCTTATAGGGGGCTTTTTCCTCATTTGTGATTGTAGTTACGCGCAAGCTGGTTTTGAAATGAAGGATGTATTTCTACACATCAAATTGCTAGAACAAGCGTCAATGGAGGATCAACCGGCAATAATGATACAAGAGGCGTCTGAAGAAGACGAAGAAGTTCATGGGTCGGGTGTATATAAGCTGACATTCGCTTGCAGTTCTTCTATTTCTTGGCCGGCCATGTCTGGGGCCCTCGATAGTGCGTCGATTTCTTGTAAAAAAACACAGATCTTCGAGAAGAAAGGGTTCACATTAGGGGTAGCTTTGCTTTTAGTTCAGCAAATTGATCAGGAGAGAATTTTCAGAACTCGGATTGAAAGTGCTCTCAAATCTGCTCTCAAGAAGCCAAAAAATAAGAAGCTCCCTTTCCGGCTTTGTGGGTGTCAAGAACAGAACACTCCCGGGAGAGAGTTTGGGGAGGTTGAAGATGAGGACTGTGGTCAACCAAATTACAGAACTGCAAGTGACGATACAAGCCCGGAAGCTCTCTTGCAAACCCCTTTGCACAGCTCTTCGTTTATAGTATCTGTAAATGAATGGCAGACGGTGCATTCCGGTGGGAATGAGATTGAGAAGTGGCTTTTGAGCCCAGATATGCTCGAGTTTACTGACCAGCTTGGACCTTGTACCTTCAAGGGGGTATACAAGGGAAAGCGAGTTGGGATCGAGAAGCTCAAAGGCTGTGACAAAGGAAATGCGTATGAGTTTGAGCTTCGAAGAGATTTGTTGGAGTTGATGACTTGCCAACACAGGAGTATATTGCATTTCTACGGCGTGTGCATTGACGATGATCATGGATTGTGTGTTGTGACTAAGCTAATGGAAGGCGGATCCGTTCATGACTATCTCTTCAAGAATAAGAAGATTCATACTAAAGAGATTATGAAGATTGCGTGCGATGTAGCTGAGGGACTTAAGTTCATGAATGATCATGGAGTTTCCTATAGAGACCTTAATACTCAGAAGATCTTATTAGACAAATATGGGAATGCTTGCCTCGGCGACATGGGAATTGTGGCTGCTTGCAATGGTGGTGGTGAAGCTATGGAGTATGAAACTGATGGCTATAGATGGCTAGCTCCTGAGGTTTGTTCCACACTCTACATTCTTTCCTGCATTCGTGCCATTTACCCCCAAACTCTTCAAACATTTCACAGGTATCCCCTAAACTTTTAAAACTGCACCAATAGTCCCTTAACTTTTAAAAGTGTTGCATGAATGGTCACTATGCGTCAGATTTGAGAGTACGTTAAATCGTTAAACATACACATGCACAGATAAACACATATGAATGCGCATATATGTATGATAAGCCATCCAGCCTTTTGAAAAAATTGCCATATATATTCCTGTGTGGAACAGTCCTAGAATTCTATGTTTTCTTGCCATTTTTGTACTTTTTACTAAGAATAACTACTCCATATTCCTGCCAATCTAGCCCAGAGAGGAAGAAGATGGAAAGATATTAATATGACAAATATATAATGACACATTGTGGGGTTTTGTTTTTTAGCTTGTTACACATTGATGATACAGTTAAATGACAGAAAGGGCTTATCTTAGAATGAAAACCTTATGATGCGCATCATTATGTCAGCATAGCATGTGCAACTAATTGTCATGATGTGTTTGCTCTATGCAACTATGACTAATCTGTTGCATGATTACGAAAACACAAGGTATAGAGTTTTGGGTTTCTCACCATTAGATGTAATTGTGAGCTGGCAAGCACTTCCTTTTTGTAGTGACCACATATAGTCCTAAATCCTAATGACCAAATAAAATAAATCAGTCTTTGTGCGCCATATGTCCCTCCTTTTTGTGTTGTTGCCTTAATAGCAATTTAGTAATAATAAAAATAATACGGAGTAATATAATTAATGATATTATTATTATTATTATTACCTCACTTGTCCTAAAATTATCTTCCCAGTCTCTTTTATTGGGATCTCGTAATGATTTCGTCCCATTTCTTTCAAGGGTGGGTTGTGTGGTTCAACTTAACGATCGTGCCATTTCAATATGAGAATATAATTTTAGGACGGAGGCGTTAAGTTTTTTGCTCTTTTAAATTTGTGTTGTCATGACCCCCTCCTCCTCCCACAAGTAACACATAGTATATATCTTTGGATGCAACAGATCATTGCCGGTGACCCAGAGAACGTTGCAGAAACATGGATGAGCAACGCGTATAGTTTCGGCATGATATTATGGGAACTAGTGACGGGGGAGGAAGCGTATTCCTCCTATTCACCGGTGCAGGCTGCCGTTGGGATTGCTGCTTGTGGCCTCAGGCCTGAAATCCCAAAGGACTGCCCCCAAACTCTTAGGTCTCTGATGACCAAGTGTTGGAACAGTTGCCCTTCAAAGCGCCCTCCCTTCTCTCACATTGTATCAACTTTGACCCCATCCCAGCAGCAATAATGGCCCCCACTTTTCATGGCGTCTTTTGGGTGGGTTTATACTTGCAGGAGTTGAAACTCCATGCCAAATGACTTGGGTCTCTTCTTCTGTCTGGGATTTATTATATCTGTCTATTCCAACTCATTACATCAAAAGAAAGAAAAAAAGTCAAGGGTCCAGGACATAAGATGCACGTTTTCCCCCATTTGTGCCATTTTTTCCCCCCCTTCTCTTTTTGGTTCCTTTATTTTAGCTGTCAACTAAAAGACCTGATTTTTCTTCTTGTAATTATTATATACATATCCACACTTGTACCGCCACTAACAACGTCGAAGATTTATTGGCCAGACTCAAGTAGTAAGAACAGGTGAGATTGGGCTGCAAGCAAGTCTGCAACATCTCTGTATTACGGAGTAGATTTTATTAGTGGTCCAAAGAGAGGATGTCAAACCCGTTGATCCTAGGGTCGAAATGTGAGAGTTCTTTTTTTTTTTTGTAATAGCTTCTTGTGTGCACCAAGCATGGGGCGGACTCTCTAAGGATCAGATTGAAATTATACCATGATTTACTTCTCTTACAATCGTGTCGGGCGTTCCACCTTTTTAAAAACATTGATCCCATGGTGTCCTAGTACTCACTCAGAACTAGATTGGGAGGAGATAAAGTGAGATATAATCTTAGACTAAACGATAACTCAAGAACCTTATAATTGTGCATATTGGATAGTATGTACTCCTTATTTTCAATTTCTGAGTGACACATTGCATTGTATGAACTGTAGGATTTGTAGCTCTACCACAAGAAACTTGACCTCCAATTTGGACATACGGATTAGTATACATTGTTTGTCATTACTCTTTGGGTCATATCCAACTTGAGTTGGTTTGGCCCTACAGATTACTAAGTCTTTTTTTTATCGGTAGGGTGACTCGAATTCAAAATTTCTTACAAAAAGATAATCTTAAGTGTATACTATTTACCATTGGACCGCCCCAAGAGGTCACATTACATTTATAACTGCATGCATGAGGGGTTGAAAAAGCAATGGCTAGAGACCAAACCAATGGAGCTCGTTGGAGGTGGTGGGGGGAGTCTAGAGCGGTGGATGGGCTTCTAGGACCCGTCCTGACCGTTGTTATGATTTTGAATATGGGTTTTGATTTACTCTTTTGGTACAAATTTTAGGATTGTTCTTTTCAACTAGACTAATGAGTTTAGATTTGCTTTCATTTAGTTTTAATTTGATCTGATTGCAGGTACTTTTTAAAAATATTTTTGATTTGATCTGATTTGATTCTAATAAAAATAAGTAATAAATAAAAAATAATTTTATTTTTTTCTTATGTTTGAAAAATTAATTGTACATTTTGCATATTCAATAATAAAATATGACGAATTGTCTAAAATACTCCGTATAAAATATATGAGCACTGTTGACATGAATCAATAGGACATGTCGTACTTCAACGAATCAAAAACAGCCTTGTCACACAATTACATTCTAGTCGAGTGGCATGTATTTATTTTTCTCAATGTTTACATTTTTTGACATATTTTAAATAGTCCAAATGTTTTTTTACTTTTTGTAAAAATATGTATTTTGATGTGTATATAGTTTAAATTGTATAGTTTAATTGTTAAAATTAATTTTAATTATCTATTACATTGGGATGTATAGTCTTTAATATAACGTTAAATTTGAAAAATATATTTTTAGGTTTAAAAAAAGGCTTATTTAGATTTTTATAAAAGGGGTTTGTATTTTTAGTTACAAAAAAAAAGGATTAGATGGGAAAGAAAACAATAATGCTGACCAACAAGAGGGCGGTTCTGTTGACATTGGCTAATAGTGTAGAAAATGATCCGACCTTTTTTGTTTGCCCGAAACCCGACTCGAAAATAGTGGATATTGAACAAATATTTTATTTACCTTCAATTATTTAGAAAAATAAGTCATGCTTGTGTAATGTAAACTTATTTTACATACTTTGAAAATAATTAAAAGAATAAATGATTTAACAAATTTTAAAACAAGTATGAATAATTTATCCAAAAATTATAATCATCCCTAAAACTCAATAAACTCAATTTTAGTATCTATAAATATATGTACTACAATTTATCCTTATTTTATGTTTTCTCAAATTAATCAACAAAATATAAGTTTGAATATTAAATACTATGGAATATATAAAAATACTTGTAGGAATGCTATAGATGAATTGACTGCATCGTTGACCTGGGTCAACCCGGTTTGACCGGTTGACCTTTGACCCACTTACCTCGCTGGCTCAATGTTGATCCGATTTTCATAACATTGCTCCAAATGTGTGGCTATTATACATACTATTATGCAATGCATAATAGCCACACATTTGAAGGGGTGTATGGATCTGGGGTGGGGCAAGGGTGAGGGTTTAAGGGTGTAGGATCGGAACTATCAAATAGCGAATGGGGCACCCAAGGTGCTCCTAAAACTCAGTGACACTAAAGTGTCGCCGTTGGCCAGTGTCATCAGAACCTTGTTCAACGGCAACACACATGAAATGAAAAAAGTGGATGAGAGGATTACAAAAAAGATACTAGGTAAAAAGAAAGAAAATGGATATCTCATACTCTAATGTAATCTATATTTTTAGCGATAAATTTTGCCTCAGACTTGCTTTGCAAATAGGAGTGCCTCGCCCCTTGCCATGTGTGTCAATATTTCCCTCGCACACTGTATTCTCTTCCATCCCGGCAAAGTATATGATTTTGAAAAACTCTTACATTAGCGGGCTATTTAAGTCAGATTCGAGTACGATTGGGTTTGACCCATTTTTATGGGTTGTTTCAGATTCGGTCAGTTTCATGTTCGATCAACAAAACATTTATTCAAAACCCAATATTTTGGCGTTGGGTCTCAATTAAATTTATCCATATTTGATTTTGATCGAAATCGATTAGATTCGAATTATTATACCAAATAGTGATAATATCTAAAATTAATTATACCCGAAACCAATGAGATTCGAAATTGATGATACCTGACACCGATAAAACCTGAGACTGATTATGCATTTTCAATAAACATATTATAGAGTAATAATTATGTGCATAAGTGCAGAGTTACGTTAATGTAATTTTAATTTCATTTATTTTACCACTTAAACAAGTTGGTTATATATTTAGGCGATACTCCCTTCATTTTAGTGAAATTTGCACTAAATAGGACTAAAACATAATGACTTTTCTAATGTAGGACTTAAACTTTTTTATTCCCCAAATAGGACTTATTAATGACCTAGTGAAAAGAATAATGTCTAGTAATGATGGACATTTAGTTGAATAATGACTACTTGATAATGACCAAAGGTCCTACATTAGAAAATAAAAACATATGGTCCTATATTGGGAAAGTCATTATATTTTAGTCCTATTTAGGTAAATTTCTCTTCATTTTAATTGTTTTTTACAATTGAAATGTTTAATCAAAGTGCTGCATATTTTGACTTTCAATGTGGGAGATGGACGCAAGATAATTGAGCAAGATAGAAATGTAGAGAAAGTGATGAGAAAGTATAAATGAGCTTATGTGCCAAATGGCTAAATATAGAGAAAAAATATGGAGAAAAAAAGTTAAATATTAATATATAGAGTGAAAATAACTAAAAAGATGGGAAGAAAGTGAAAAAAGAAAGAAAAAATCTCAAAGAGTATCATTTGGAAAACATTAAGTAATCATTTACGTGATGATAACTTGATAAATATTGTGTGACTAAAAAAGGAAACATGAAATTTTAAAATAAAATATAAAAACAATATATATCCAAAATATATTAGAATCGAAACGTGTCTGAAATTAGAATAAGTCTGAAACCAAAATATAACCCAACTCATTTATATTAGGACTGATCCAAAATTGAACTGAAACAAAAAATTGTACAAACTAAATTAAAACGAATCAGATCAAACTGAGTACTCCCTCCGCCTTTGAGTATTTATCCACGTTTGACTTTCTTCTGTCAAAATTGATGAAATTTGACTTCAAATTAAATAAAAATAAGATTAGATATTGATAAAAAAATTATAATTAGATTTATTATACAATATAGTTATAAAATATTATTTTATCTAATTAATATACAATATATATTTTATTTAATTATAGCCTTATAGGTCAAATGTTGAAAATAGTTAACTGAAAAAAGTCAAAATTGAACAAATACTCAGAGACGGATGTAGTATAATATATATCTCAAAAATATCCCAACAAAATAAGTTAGGACCAAAATCGATCTAAGTAATGTTATTGCTAGGTCTAGTAATCAAGACCTATTTAGTTTAGTTTTTTTTCACCTCATCTGATTATAATTATATTTTTAAAATTATTTTTGATCTAGTCAAATTTTAATAAGAGAGTGTTTGGGAGTGCTTTGAAAATAATTTATAGCTTCCACAATTTTAAATATTTGGTAATCTACTATAGCTTATACGGAGTAAATTATAACTTTAGAATTAAAAATTAAGTTCTAGAAGCACTTTTTAACAAAACTAAAAATACTCACTTTCTGTTTCTAAATTATGACTTCTACTTTTATATCACTCTGCCCACTTTCTAAGTGACAATGAGTCTATTTGGATATAGCGTTAGCATTTTAGATAAATTTAAGCAGTGTAATTATTTTAAAAATGTTAACGTTAAACGATGTCCGTAAATAGTTGTTTGGGACACTAAAGCTAATCTATTCCCAAATAGGCACAACAAAAGCTTAAGGAAAATGCTAGAGACACAAACATATACTTCACAAACTTGCTTTTTTCTGGATTTTTAATTAAAATATCTTTTATTACTTGAGTGCATCTTATTTTAAGAAAAGTGTTAAAAAAATAAATTTGTAAATTTTGTAAAGTGTTTATTTGTGAGTCTCGCATTTGCTTAACCAACGTTCGTTATCAACAAAAGCGCCTTAGCCTCTCTCTCTCTCTGTCTGTCTATCTGGATCTAGATCTCAACTAAATACCGCCTTCTCCATGGAGGCCTAAAGAGAGGGGGCCATAGTCCTCTAGATAAGGTATTTCCAAAACCCTAACCCAAGCTTTCCATTCAAATCCCATAAATACCCTCCCCCCTATGAAATTTCTTCCCCAAGTTACTGCTTCTAGAGCTCCAATCCCACAATCCTGCAATCTTCCGTCGGGAATCTTGACTGCACCGCTTTCTCCTTCTCCGATTCCATACCTTTCCTCTCCTCTGCACCAATCGGTACTTTCCTCGCTCTCTTTTTTTCATCTCTCTGTTTATATATTCGTTGCTTTCTTGATCATTTCAGAATCAATCGATTGAAATGGAACTGTTTACGAGGATCGGTAGATTGCTTGTTTTCATTGCATCTCCGATCATCGCGGCACTCGCGTGCTTGAATTGTTCGGATCTCAGTTTTCTCACCGTTTTCCTGGTTTTGATCATTTCCATGGGGGTTTTTGGATTTTTCAGCAACTCGTTGCACTATATGCTTCCTAGAAAGAGAGCTGTGGAAGGCCAGGTTGTTGACGGTTGCGTTGATCCGGAGAACCTTCTCAAGAAGCAGCGGACCGGTTGCCTGACATCATCTGGAGCTGCGGACAAGACTAGCGGCTCCTGCTGTACAGTCATCACGGGGAACAACAGTTCCAGCACTAACGGTAGCGCTAGCGGCAGTAAGAGTGGTAGTGAACCTTCGCTGAAGGACATGGCGTTTGATGATGGCAATCCTCATGACATTGACGAGGATCTCCATAGCAGGCAGCTTGCCGTCTATGGCCGCGAGACGATGCGTCGTCTCTTTTCTTCCAATGTTCTTGTTTCTGGATTGCAAGGCCTTGGTGCTGAGATCTGTACGGTTTTCTACACTTGATAGTATCATCTTGCTATTGATTTTTACTCTTGATAGTACCATATTGTTATTCAGTTTTTGCTCCCTAGATTCTAGCCTATTTCTCATATCAGGCTTTGAGTTGTGTACTGTACATTCTTATGGATTTAGTTATAGCACTGATTGAGTGATTTCACTAGCTAGTGAAATTGTGATAGTGTGCGGAGTAGTTCTTTCCATTCAGGTTTCTTAACTATTTTGCACTTCACATTTTAAATTCATCACTACTAAGGTTTTCATATATGTGGCATACTAAAGTTATTGTGATATGTGATTCCATTACTGATCTTTCTTTCTATTAAAGCACTTAAAGCAGTACTTCAAGGGTCTCTCTCTTCAATTACCTAATATGGTTTGGGGACTTTGGGCTATTGGTGACATTTTTTTAATGTGTTGCTGCTTTGGTTTAAGCCCTGTTTTGGCAACCAACTGTTGGATGTCAGCTGGTAGCCGATAGTTGCTTGTGTAACTATTTCAGAAAAAGTGTGGTGCAATGAGCTTTGTTTGGTAGATTCATGTAAAAATTTGTTTCCAAAAGGCTTGAGTTGTCAACCCACTTTATGGAACCGATAAGCTTGCCCAAGAAGTTGTTTACCAAACATATTTAATAGATGTTTGACCTAAGTCAGACATCTAATTTAGTCTGAAAGTCTCTTTTTAAATTAGAAACACTCTAAAAGCTTTGTTCCAACTCGCCTTAGTCTACACAGTAACACCATGATATACACTATTTCTTTCTCCGCTCTGCAGCTTTGCTACTGTCTATATAGTATGGAGTAGTGAATATTCTATTTTATGCCCATCATTTCATAACGTCCTTGTGTTTTGAGATCATTTTGGTGTGTCGAGGTTTCTTTTGACTGTCTAGTGTTCTTTTAGGCATAGATGTCTTAACTCTTAAGCGCATATATTCACAAGAGCATTTCATTTGGTTAAACTCACTTCATAGATCTAATGTACTATTTTGTAAATTTATACTCCTTACAAACTATACTTTGTATTAAGCAATTGCAGTAACTTGCAACATCATTTTCATCAATGTTTTAGTGTTAATCACACTAATTTGTATCTTGAATATCTGTATTTGTAAGTTAGATAGTTAGATGGCTAAACCTACTTCTCTTTCTGTCTTCTTCTTCTGATAAGTCTAATCAACTAAGTTACTATTTCAAGAAACAGCAGTTATTTAATTGTGCCATTTAACCAATCTTAAAATCCACTTCCCTAGAAAGTTTGTTGTGCATGGAGTTTGTAAATCTTATGTGCAAGAGATGCACCATAGATCATAAGCAGAACATTGGTGAATTTATTTCTGTCAGCCGCGAGCTATTTTTTTCCCAAGCAAGCATATTTGATATCAGAATGTTTTTAATTATTGCAGCCAAGAATCTTGTCCTTGCTGGTGTGAAATCTGTGACACTACATGATGAAGGAACAGTGGAGTTGTGGGATTTGTCAAGCAATTTTATATTCTCAGAGACTGATGTTGGTAAGAACAGGGCACTTGCTTCTGTACAAAAACTCCAAGAGCTCAACAATGCGGTTTTAGTCTCAGCTTTGACCACAAAATTAACAAAAGAAAGCCTCTCTGAGTTTCAGGTATTTTATTTCTTTCCATTTATTCTTTTCTGTAACTCTTGGTTTTTGTGCAAACTATACCTTTCACTCTTCATTAACTAATTGCTTGTGTTTCGTTTGTTAGCATTTTTGTTTTCACTTTTCTGACAATGAAACAACAATACGTGTTTGACAATGCTGTTTTTTTTAATTTTATTTTCAATGCTTTGAAAAATTGAGAAGTCTTGAGAACATACTGTAATTTTTTTCTCCTTGTGTATGCTAACATGTTTCTAAACTGACCATATTTATAAAGCAAGTACTGATATTATTTTAATACCCTGGGGTATGTGATTGATGGATTAGTGAAATTATTCCTTGTACTGTAATAGTCCAAGGTCTAATTTTACCTATCGTGGTGGCCTTAAACAGTTGTACGCACAAGTAAAACAAAGGATTGTTTTACGTGCGGTGAAAAGTAAAAGAGAATATAAAGGAAAATAAATAGTGCTCCACAATATAAAGGAGTTGAAATTGTGTTTTCTTACTTTGCTCTTCTCGCACTGTTTACATGATGCTCCTCCTCAACTCTAGTAGTCTTCTCTTTTTATAGTACTTACCCTCCTTAACCACCATATCTCCGGTGGTTAGAAGGAGCATGTCCAGGGAGATTTGGGGTGATCTCTCCGCCACCTCCGCAACTCTACTATCTCTTTTGTCATAACCAGGACAAATATTCCCCATCTTTTCATGTTCTTGACTATGATGGGAGAATATTTGCTCCCTGGACCCTTCCTCTTGGTTGCCATGCCTCCTTCCAACCCTAGGTTGGGGTTGTCTTTCTTTAACATATATGACCCAACCCAATTCTTTGGGTTGAGCTACTGACTGAAATGGGATGGACTCTCCCTAATCCATTTCCTCTCTCTTTTATACTTATTACTTTGGCCCGGCCTAGTTACCTATTACTTTGAGCCGGGCATTTACATTTAGTTATTATACGGACTAATCTATCCCGCTATTTATTTTGGGGGCCACATTCCCATCACTGATATATCATTTTAAGTAGTACTACACTGCGTGCGACTCAAATCTCAAATTAGTGATATATATATATATATATAAAAGAAATTTTAGATAAAAAAGACATGTGCCTTCGGCTTAAAATAATCTTCTCACTTTCTTGTTTGAACATTTTCATATAGTACAGGGACCTTACTTTATTCTCCTTTTGGTTTGTTGCAAAATAAACTTTACGGCTCCATTTGGTACACGGAATTCAAACTATGGAATTGGAATTGGAGACAATAATTCCAATTCTGTTGTTTGGTAGCACAAAAATATGTGGATTTGGAATTGGTAGTGCCAACAATGAATTGAAATTGAAGAATTCAATTCTATAGAATTTCAACTCCCAATTCAATTCCAATTCCGTCAATTCCGTATACCAAACGGACCCTACATTCCTTTTAAGGGAAGCATTGTGTCAGTTACAATATTTCCCTCCTCTGCATAAATCTGAACTACACAATTCCTCTTTTTATTGAATTCCATAAAAAGGCAAATAAGAAGTTTAATTTGAGATGGATTGAATAATTTTTTTTATAATAGACATTTAACTTCGATGGAGCCAAAATTTCACCATTTTTTGGCTTTGGGGTGTGATGGAATAAATCAAAATGGATCTCTAAACTGTCTGCGCTTCTTTAATTAATGAAGTAGCAGTTAGTCAAGAAATGCAACTTTCGACGTTGAGCCGGGGGTCTCTTTGGAAACAGCCTCTCTACTTTCGAGTAGGGGTAAGGTCTGCGTACACACACCCTCCCCAGACCCTACTCTTGTGGGATTTAACTGGGTTGTTTGTTGTTGTTGTATAATAGACATTTAACACAAAACATGAAATGTTATCAGAGTAACCCTTAGATTTCTTCACGTGCTAGCTATGTGTTGATTTTTCATATATCCATTAAGTTATGTGCCATATTTTCCATCTGTGTGAATACATGATTACATTGTTTAATGCTGGTACTTGTCTTTCAGCAACATTGTGGTGTGCTGTAAACACTAAGACATCATTTAAATTTCTGTGTTGAACTTTTTTTTCCACTCAAGTCAACACCATATTTTTAAGTCCTATCACTGTGAAGTTATTTTGGTGCATTGAAGTTACATGGCTGAGTAATATATAACTGTTGCACAGGCTGTGGTCTTCACTGATATCAGCTTAGAAAAGGCTGTTGAGTTTGATGACTATTGTCATACTCATCAACCACCCATAGCATTCATCAAGGCTGATGTTAGAGGCCTTTTTGGTAGCGTGTTCTGTGATTTTGGTCCTCAGTTCACGGTAGTTGATGTTGATGGTGAGGAACCTCATACGGGCATCATTGCCTCCATCAGTAATGACAACTCTGCTCTTGTAACATGTGTGGATGATGAGAGGCTTGAGTTTCAGGATGGTGATTTAGTTGTGTTTTCTGAAATTCGGGGCATGACC